TTTGGTGTAGTGGTTAAGTGCGCGGACTCTAATCTTGGAGAACCAGGTTTAATTCCCCACTCCTCCACTCGCAGCTGCTGGATGACCTTGGGTCAGTCACAACATCTGGTACTGCTGTTCCCTCAGAGCTCTCTCAGCCCCACCTACCAGTTTGGTGTGAGAGCCAGTTTGGTGTAGTGGTTAAGTGCGCGGACTCTAATCTGGGAGAACCGGGTTTGATTCCCCACTCCTCCACTTGCACCTGCTGATGTGACCTTGGGTCAGTCACAAGCTCTGGCAGTTTGTGTCAGAGTTCTCTCAGCCCCACCCACCTCACAGGGTGTCTGTTGTGGGGAGGGGAAGGGAAAGGAGTTTGTAAGCCGCTCTGAGACTCCAAGTGAAGGGCGGGGTATAAATCCAATCTCTTCTTCTTCTTCTCACAGGGTGTCTGTTGTGGGGAGGGGAAGGGAAAGGAGTTTGTAAGCTGCTCTGAGACTAAGAGTGAAGGGCGGGGTATAAATCCAATCTCCTCCTCCTCCTCCTCTTCTATCCTATCTTATCAGTCTTATTACTTATATGATAAACCGTGAATAACCTTATAAAATTTGTGTGTGATTTTAACATAACTGGCTGTTGCGATAAGAATCATACGAAAGAAAATATCTTGAGACTCATTCCATTTTTTTCTGTCTCATCAAAAAATTTTTTTTAAATAGTATGCCCTTTGGAAAGGGAAGAAAATGATCCGTTGTAGCCAAATCTTCTCTCATAGGGCTGCCTGATCCCCCCTATGGTAGGGTTGCCAGATCCAGGTTGGGAAACTCCTGGAGATTTGGGGGCGGAGCCTGGGGAGGACGGGGACCTCAGTGGAGTACAATGCCACAGAGCCCACCCTCCAAAGCAGTCCTTTTCTCCAGGGGAACTGATCTCCATAGGGTGGAGATGTGCTGTAATTTCAGGGGATCCCCAGGTCCCACCTGGAGACCAGCATCCCTAGCCCCCCCACCAAGTTTGAATGAACAAAGACAGGCACGGTGGTCTCAGATCCTCACGGTAAAACCATCTTCACTTCCTCCAACCCCCCACTCCATGGACCTGCACTGAGGATAGAAAAAGGAAACTCAATATCTGATAAGAAGCCCGGGGGTGTTGATCAATAACTCTGTATTCCTCTCTTCGTTAAGGCGAACCCATACAGGAAACCAGTTCACCTCATTCTCTGAAGAAAGATGTCGAAAACATGGGCAAAGGTAAGGAGAAGGGGGTGGGGAAGTGTACGTTTGACGTGGAGCGATAGCTGTAGATCTGCCCTTTTAAACGTTTCTTCCCCCACCCCCCCCACCCGTGCCAGAAGGCAAAGACAATGGCGCATAATCTTTTTTTCTTTAATTCCTCTCCATATTTTAAGCTTGACAAGCAACGTATGAATAATATATGGACCTTTTGTGTGGCTATAATTGAGATTAATGCATAGGTATCAATCAATGCATGACACGGTCCTATAATACTTTAAAATAATATATTGCATTGATTTATATTCATGGATTTCTGCACCAAATCCATCCTAGGCCTGGGCGAGGCATTCCACCACTGCCCGTCCCCTTTGACGGCTACCAAACGTTTTGCCCCCCCACCATAATGAATTGCACGGGAAATCATGCCGCCTCGAGATTTATTCCAGCCGATGAGTACAATCCCGTCTTTCTTTCCCTCTCGGTCTAGAAGAACTCCAGAAGGTCTTGTTTGAGCAGATAGATCTGAGAAGAAGGTTGGAGCAGGAGTTCCAGGTCCTAAAAGGCACCGCGTCCTTCCCGGTTTTCAGTAAGGGGAACTTTCGCTTTATACTTTGACAGTTCTTTCCTGGGTCATTCGTTGATTTGACCATAGAGTTTCTGGTGATTCCTAGAGCAGCCCTTTGTCACCTCCAGTATGTACTTCTGGTAAGTACATAGAATCGTAGGCCACTTCCACACAGTCATTTTTGTCACTTGTTTGTCCCTATTGTTTTAGGTTCTTTCCCCCCCAAAAAAATGTGTTTTGCTCTCTCTAGTAGTCCCAGAGGGAGCAAGACACATGTGGGAAAGGGGGGGGGGAGACCCAAAGCAATAGGGACAGATGAGTAACAAAAATGACAGTGCAGACGTGGCCATAGAATAAGAGAAGAGAAGAAGAAGAGAAGAGATTGGATTTATACCCCGCCCTTCACTTGGAGTCTCAGAGCGGCTTACAAAGTCCTTTCCCTTCCCCTCCCCACAACAGACACCCTGTGAGGTGGGTGGGGCTGAGAGAACTCTGACACAAACTGCTCTTTTTCAAGGACAGCTGTGCCAGAGCTTGTGACTGACCCAAGGTCACATCAGCAGGTGCAAGTGGAGGAGTGGGGAATCAAACCCGGTTCTCCCAGATTAGAGTCCGCGCACTTAACCACTACACCAAACAAAGTTGGAAGGGGCCACACAGACAATGCTCCCTCTAAGGTGCGGTGTCTTGTGAGCAAAAATTCTACTTTGTGAGCTTAGTAAAGGTAAAAGGTAAAGGTTCCCTTGCTCGAAAGCCGGTCGAATCCGACTCTAGGGTTGCGGTGCTCATCTCCGTTTCAAAGCCGAAGAGCCAGCGCTGTCCAAAGACGTTTCCATGGTCATGTGGCTGGCATGACTAAACACCGAGGTGCACGAAACGCTGTTACCTTCCCACTGAAGTGGTACCTATTTATCTACTTGCAATGTCTTGCTTTCGAACTGCTAGGTTGGCAGGAGCTGGAACTAGAGACGGGAGCTCACTCCATCATGCGGCACCCTGGGTCTCGAACTGCTGAACTACTGACCTTCCACAGCCTGCAGTTCAGCGTCTTAACCACTTGAGCCACCGCAGCTCCTTTTTTGTGAGCTTACTGGCATTCAAGTTGTGAGAAAGCGATTTAGCTGTTGCATGAATTTGTTTGCTCTGGAGCCATCCCTTCCTGAGCTGAGACAAAAAAAACGTGTGAGCCGGAGGCTAAAAAACTGTGAGCCAGCTCACACGAACTCATCTTAGAGGGAACACTGCTTACAGGCCATCTGGTCCAACCCCGTGCTCAGTGCAGGACCAGCCTAGAGCATCTCTGGTGAATGTTTGTCCAGCCGCTGCTTAAAGACTGCCAGGGAGAGGGAGCTCACCACCAGTGTGTTCCTTCTATGCTGAGTTAGTGTGAGTCAGCTTGCAGAACACAGAACCACAGCTGTATGGGGTCGCCGAGCTCACCAGAATCTATCCATAGCCTACATTTGGGCAGCTGGATCCTCGAATCTTTCGTTGGTGCACGGTTCTACAGCTCAGCCTTTAGCCAATCAGAAAAGACATCTGAATTCTCAATTCAGGCCCTTTGGACCTTATTAGATGTTGCCCTATCGTTGGTGGTTGAGAAGGGACCCCCATAACAGTTCAAGCTTCAGGGCCCCAAAAATCGACCAGAGGGTACCAGGAGTACCAAAAGCAGCTACCCCTGCAATGCCCCCTGCCCCAGCACTGGTGCCCAGTTTGCCAGGCTGTCAGGACGTTTCGGCCCACCCAAGCATCTGGTTGTAGAGTTGCCAACAGGCCTGGAGTAATATGTCCTGTCGTTTCAATAGAGGCTTAACATGTGGAAAAAAGGTATTTCATAGCCCAGTAGTAGAAAACAGCCAGAGTCCAGGAGCACCTTTAAAAAAGGTAAAGGTTCCCTCGCTCGAAAGCCAGTCGAGTCCGACTCTAGGGTTGCGGTGCTCATCTCCGTTTCAAAGCCGAAGAGCCAACGCTGTCCGAAGACGTTTCCGTGGTCATGTGGCCGGCATGACTAAACACCAAGGCGCACGGAACGCTGTCACCTTCCCACCAAAGTGGTACCTATTTATCTACTTGCAATTTCTTGCTTTCGAATTGCTAGGTTGGCAGGAGCTGGAACTAGAGACGGGAGCTCACTCCGTCATGCAGCACACTCAGGTCTCGAACTGCTGAACTACCGACCTTCCACAGCCTGCAGTTCCGCGTCTTAACCACTAACAAAACTTGTGACAGGGGAGGAGATTTCGTGAGTCACTGGTCGCTTCTTCAGTAGAAAAGAGCAAGAGTCCAGAAGCCCCTTAAAGACTAACACAATTTGTGGCAAGGGAGGAGCTTTCACCACCGCTCACTTCTTCAGTAGAAAAGAGCAAGAGACTGGTAGCACCTTAAAGACTAACAAAATTTGTGGCAGGGTAGGAGCCACAGTGGCTCAGAGTTTAAGATGCTGAGTTGCAGACCAGAAGATCGGTAGTTCGGCAGTTTGAGACCCGAGTGCCGCATGACGGAGTGAGCTCCCATCTCCGGCCGCAGCTCCTGCCAACCTAGCAGTTCGAAAGCAAGAAATGGCAAGTATATAAATAGGTACCCCTTCGGTGGGAAGGTAACAGCATTCCGTGCACCTCGGCATTTGGTCATGTCAGCCACATGACTACGTAAGTCTTTAGACAGCACTGGCTCTTTGGCTTGGAAATGGAGATAAGCACCTCCACCTAGAGTCGGATTTGACTGGCTTTCGAGCAAGGGAAACCTTTACTTTTACCTTTAGGAGCTTTCAGGAATCACTACCAGTGTTCCCTCTAAGCTGCGCTATGGGGTGCTGGCACACAAAGTTTTAGCAGGCTGCTCACAGATTTCAGCTTCCTGCCCACAAGGCTTTTTTACCCTCCATTGGAAACAATGAAGGATGGGGGCCCTGGTCCAATCTTTTTGAAACTTAGAGGGGTTTTTGAGGAGAGGCGCCAACAGTTATGCTGAAAATTTGATACATTTACCTCAAAAAACAACTCCCCCAGAGCCCCAGATACCCCAAGATCAATTCTCCATTATAGCCTACGGGGCCCATTGACTATAATGGTCCCCATAGGCTATAATGGAGCAGAGAAAATATCAATATTTTTTTTTGCACACCCCTATTATGCTCTTCAGTATGATCTAACAGCTTCCTTGAGTCACAGGAAAAGGGGAATATAAATATCTGAATAAAGAGGTAATTTAGGCAGGTTGGTAACATTTAAGCAAAACACCACGAGGGAAAAGAGAAACTCCCCTGTCCCTTACATACGAATAGGGACCCTGCACAGCTTCTATAAGCACTTTTTTAAAATGTTGGGAGAATCTTTCATAGTCTCATCTCTTTATCAACATAATTCCCTCCCATTCATTTTTCCGCCTCACCGGGAGAAATATTTGAGTCCCTATACCTGGATCTTCCCCTACACCACCCGGCCCCATTTTCATCTATCAAGGAGAGTCGAATGACCCAGCTGACTTCTAAAACGTAGCATTCAAGAATCAAGATTCTCCAAGTAGGGTTGCCAACTTCCAGGTGGGAGCAGGAGATCTTCTGCAATGACAACCGATTTCTAGACTAGATTGATCAGTTCCCCTGGAGGAAATGGCTACTTTGGAAGGTGAACACCTTGGAAGGTGAACACCATGTTGGGTTGCCAGCCTCCAGGTGGGTGAAGCAACCCGAGCTGCAGTGTTAGGAGAGTCTAGTAACAAATAAATATAAACTGCAAAAAAACTTTTAGCAAACTAATGTGTTCTATTTATGGTCATCATTTAGTGAAGTGCATAGCGTATCATTATATCATTATGCAGCTTTGAGAATGACAGGAGTACTCCGTCTATGAATGTTAGCTCCATAACGTGTCTTTTGTAGGACCGGCAAAAAGCATCCATACAAGAAGGCCGTCCCCCTTTTTGGAAGATTTCATGCAAGGAGAAGCGGGCTTATAATTCTAGAAATTCCCGTTGGGGCTTGACTTTTAAAACACTGATGCAAAATTGCCTGGTAGTTAGGAATCTGTATGTATTGAATGTTATTGCTTATTGAATGTAATGAATATTTATACCTGACTAGGATGAAAGGAGCTGCGGTGGCTCAAGTGGTTAAGACACTGAACTGCAGGCTGCGGAAGGTTGGTAGTTCAGCAGTTCGAGACCAGAGTGTGCCGCATGACGGAGTGAGCTCCCGTCTCTATTTCCAGCTCCTGCCAACCTAGCGGTTCGAAAGCAAGAAATTGCAAGTAGATAAATAGGTACCACTTTGGTGGAAGGGTAACAGCGTTCCGTGCGCCTCGGCGTCTAGTCATGCCGGCCATATGACCATGGAAACGTCTTCAGACAGCGCTGGTTCTTTGGCTTTGAAACGGAGATGAGCACCGCAACCTTAGAGTCGGATTTGACTGGCTTTCGAGCGAGGGAAACCTTTACCTTTACCTTAGGATGAAATAATGATACACTTTACTAAATGATGACCATAAATAGAACGCATTCGTTTGCGAAAAGGTTTTTGCAGTGTATATTTATTTGTTACTAACCTCCAGGAGTGGCCTGGATGCCTCCCAGAATGAGAACAGATCTTCAGACGACCAAGGTCAATTCACCTGGAGAACATGGCAGCTTTGGAGGGTGGAACATAAGAGCATAAGAGATGCCCATGTTGGATCAGGCCAAAGGCCCATCCAGTCCAACACTCTGTATCACAGTGGCCAGAAATACCAGGTGCCCTCAGGAGGTCCACCAGTGGGGCCAGGACATTAGAAGCCCTCCCACTGTTGACCCCCCCCCCAAGCACCAAGAATACACAGCATCCCTTGCCCCAGAGTCCCTATCTATACCTTGTGGCTAATAGCCACTGATGGACCCCTGCTCCATATGCTTATCCAATTCCCTTTTGAAGCCGTCCATGCTTGTAGCCGCCACCACTTCCTGTGGCAGTGAAATCCCTCTTTGGGTGAAGTAGTACTTCCTTTTATCCGTTTTAACCCGACCACTCAGCAATTTCATGGAGTGCC